GAGAACTCTCAAGGGGCTGCAAATTTTGACTTCAAATATGACTACTCAAATCTTTTTAGTTTTCGAGATATGACTTTTTGTGATTTTTTTTCAAACAATTTTTAGTCTTTTAAATTAATTTTTTTTTTTAAATTTCAATTGAATTTTGCAGCCCTCTTCCTTGTAATGGGGGAGGGGGAAGGGGGATGGGACTGTATTGTAATGAGGGATGGGACTGTAATGTAATAAGGGAGGGAGTTTTTTTCAGGGGTTGCTAATCTTGCCGCCAAATAAGACTGCTCAGGACTTTATAATTTTCCAAATGTGACGTTTTTATTGTTTTTCAATTTTTTTTCGAAACTTAAATTCAATTTTTTCTCCAAATTCAAAATTTCTAACCCTGTAGTTAGGTACTGTGAGAGTGTTAGTAAATTACTACCAGGAGTTGAAAAATTAGCGTTCAAATTTGTCTGCTGAAATGCTTTTAGTTTCCAAGATGTGACGTTTTTATGTCAGTTTAAAATTTAAAAAAAAATACTTAGATATAAAAACTTAACGGTTTTTCTAAATTTGAATTTAAAAATTCATAGAAAAAAACTTAACAACATTTGAAATTACGAACCCTTCTATTGGTTAGTATCAGAGTACATTTAAAGGTTCTTGATATTCTTTTTTTTTGAAATTATGCGGTTTTTTCTTAGTTCTCAAAAATTCGAAGCAATGGAGGTGCGTTACACGCTAGTTTTATCTTAAGACTTACCAACGGAATAAAAAGTTTACCAATTGATGATCTAGTGAGCTCATTTAGTTTTTTCCAAGAAAAGTGTTAATCATAAATTATTTTTAGAATCAGAGGCGTATCTAGGATTTTCTCGATGGGGAGGGGCGGGTTTCAAAAAAATTTTGAAGGTTTTGTCGAACTTTTTTTAGGTCGACCAAAGTGAATTTCTGAGCGTTCTCAAAGCACTAAAAAGACCCTGTTTTGGTCAATTTTTCTGGGCTGCAGGCAAAATTTTGAAAAACAGGCCAAAAAGGCGTTTATAGGCACTTTTTGAAAAATTGTTTGACTCAAAAATCGCGTTTTTTTGGCGCGCACTCCCCCTCAAAATTAGTGTATATTGGCGGCGAAGGCGCCTTCAGAAAATTTCTAGGGTCCGTCGCCAAGTATGGATATCTCAAAATAGTACAAAGTGGGACCCTATTTTTTCGGCAGGGAGTCGAATCCCTAAGGGGGCGTCCCCCTCCCCCCAAATCCGCCCCTGCTTAAAATTAAAAGAAGTTGAAGGACATGTGTGTATGTATTTGTTGTTTCCCTGCGTTCAATTCTGTTCCAACTGTCTGTTGGCTAGAATTGTTTTAATTCCGATTGAAGAGTGTATGCAAAAAAGCTTAATTTTTAAGCTTGATTTTAGAGCTTCATTTTTCGAAAGAACAGGTAAGAAATGGGCTTTCTTAAGGCGCATTCCCGCTCAAAATTTGAAAATTTATATTGGCGTCAAATGTGCTCCTAAAAATTTCAAAGTACGCTTCCACCCCTAAATTCTCGCTCCTGTGTATAATGATTTTATAAAGTTGACAAAAACTGATGGATATCATTAACTATCCCCCTTTTACAAAGTGGGGGGGGGGGTTTGATACTAGGTACAAAGCTTACATGAGCTCAACCATTGAATTATTTTTATAGGGGTTCTTTTCGTTACTAGGTACCCTGGGGGGCAGAAGTTAAAGAGATCCAATTTGACTTAAATGTTTTGATTTTTATGCTAGTCGATTCGATTTTTAGTTTTAAAACTTTTATGCTAGTCGAGCTTTATGCAAGTCGATACATCGCCGCCATCATGACCAACTAGTGATAAAAAAAGTTAGTTTAGACCAGTAATTGTTGTGTAATACCTTTTGCGATTTGTGATAATCTCAGTTGTTATGTTTTAAGGGGGTTATTTTTCTAAAAAAAAACATTGAAAACACAAATGGCTTGTGCTTTTTATGGGCGTGCTATTAATGAGTGAATTGTATTTTAATATTTAGTTTTAATAGTTTTAATCTCTTATCATAAATAGTTGATATTAAGTATTAAGTTCGAATGCATATGTATTTCAAATAAAAATAAAAAAAAACATTTTTTTAACATTCAGTGCTAGTATTTCAATAGTCTGAAAACCACAGTTGAACAACAACGAAATATTTTTGGAAAATTGTTGGTAATTTTTATAATATGAGGAACGTATTTGAGGGTTGTAATTCAACTGAAAATTGACATTTAAGATAGCATGCAAGTTTCAGTTCTTTATAATAACCTGTAATTTCTTCCAGCTAATGTCTTCGTAATTTGAACAACGATCCTACTGGAGTCGCACAGACTTTCACTTAAAGTATTGTTCATGTAATTGCTAATTTGATGCCAAAGCAGAACAAGACTGCTGGTAACAGGGCAAAGCCCTGAAAGTTCCGACTGCCTTTTAAGGTCTATGGAGCAGTAATAACAAGAAAAAAATAAATTTAGAAAAAAAAATAAAACGAAAAAAGTAAATTTAAAGTTTGAGAGTTTTTGTGAAAGTCATCCCCCCACACGCCATATAAAATATAAGGCGATAGATTTCGCTCCTACTAACGTATCAGTTATTGTTCCGACTTTCAAAAAAAACGGAATGTTTATGCTTGGTGCGATTTTATTTTTCAGTCAATTTTCGTCGATCGAAATCATAGTTTTCCACAAAACTTTTCATACCCCATTGAAGATATTGGTTTCTTGAGTTCAGATTAAAGAAAATATTTTACCTCTGATTTGTTTTGTTATGTTTTGGGGGTTTTGAAATTGCCAAATTGGCCATGTTGCAGTCTAAATTATGCGCGCTTTCAAGAATTCATTCACATCGCTGAGACCTTAACGCGAATTAGTTATGCGTTGCAAATTCTCGCGCACAAAAAAATCGTTCCAAATTGAATTGAGGCTAGATAATTGGTCTTATTGGTTTCATACGACTTTTCACGCTTTGATTTCGTATAAAATTTATAGGTTTTCAATAATTTCTTTTCCCAAAAACTATTCGATATCAATTAAGGGACAGTCGGAACATTAAAGTCTTTGCCCTGGTATAGCTTCCTTCAACCAATTTGGAACAATTTTCAAGACGATTTTTAAGGATTATATCTCCACTTAAGCGTTAATAGCGCAAAATATATCGCGCGTTAATTGTCACAAATTGGCCAAAATTGCAAAATTTAAACCCCCATAATTTTGGAATAATTTTGGAAAAGATATTCACAGGTGAAATATCTTTTCAAATTTAAGCTCAAGACAACAATACTTTTTTATTGAAACGTGTCAAAAGTGGCTAGTTAAAATTTGTCTGAAGAAAAAAACCCACCCCGAGCACAAATATTCTGTTACTTTGGTCACAAATACGGATCAAAAACCAAATTTAAATAATTCAGATCATTTTTTTCATCGCGGGTATAAACATTTTTCAGTTTAATCTGCGTTTTAATTGTTTTTATATTAAAAAATCAAATCAGAAATTTTTTCATTTGAAAATGCTGATGAATTATGTGGTGTTTCCAATATAGATTCTCATTTCAATGCTTGGTTGTTTTGCGTCATTGGAAAAAGTTATTCGAAACATGAGTTATTATGATATTGTCAACGGATGCCGCAAAAATGTTCTGCAAAATTTCTAAAATTTCTTTAAAAGTGGTTAAGGATTCTTGATGAAGCGAAAAAATTGAAACATTCGTAGGCTGGAAATAAGACATCAAAAGGATAAGAAAGGAAAAAAGAAAACACTTCTACAAAAAATTTGGAAGGTAAAAACAATTTTCATAATTTAGTGAGTTTTGCCGTTCTCAAACAATCTGATTCGGTTGAATAAACAAGAAGCATATCAAAATCTGCTTGTACGACTATAATTTTTTCTACAAAAGCAAATCAGATGTTTCTTCCTATTATAATTGTGTTCCCTGTTCGAAACTTAAAACAGAATGATTTAGTTCCTGGAAACAGCCACAAACTGCCAGATATAAGCTATATGAAATTTTCCGTTGCCTTAAAAAAAATTTTACGTTTTTTTTTCAACTTCAGCCCTCTATGAAAAAAAAACAGTTTATCAATAGTTCGCTATTTTACTTAATGTATGTAGCTGGTAATTAACTGTTCCGACTTTCCTAATGAAAGTAACTGAATATTTGTGCTCGGGGTGGTTTTTTTTTCAGACAATTCGATTAATTATTTGGTCAATTTTGACAAAATTTTTTACATCATTCGAAAGGTATTGTTGTCCTGAGCTTAAGTTTGAAAAGATATTTCACCTGTGATCATTTTTTGTAATTATAGAGGTTTAAAGATTGCCATTTTGGCCAATTTGGGACAATTAACGTGCGATATATTTCGCGCTATAAACGCGTAAGGAGAGACTTGTTCCGTCATAAAATCCTTCCAAATTGGTTAAAGGAAGCTGATTTGCCATTTCGATTTGTTAATGGGAGCAAAATCTATCCTTTTGTAATTTATGTGGCGTGTGGGGTGATGTTTTTCACAAAAATCTTAATTTAAAAAAATATATATTTTATTTTATTACATTTAATTTGTTTCATGTTATTACTGCTCAATAGACCTTAAAAAGCTGTCGGAACATTCAGGGTTTTGCCCTGATACGAGCAGTCTTGTGTCAAGTTTAAGTTCAAATTTTATAATATAAGATTGTTAATGATTATCATTCTTATCATTTTTTTCTGACTAACTGTTTTTTTTTTCGTCAAGAAATCACTAAATTAGGCAAAGAAGTGCAATAATGGAGAATAGAAATGCTTTAAATAGAAACATGATTTAAGTTGACGAGTGCTGCTTGTCGTCTAGTTTAGGCTGATCAAATTTGAAATTTTTTGAAGAATACTGAGAAAACTTTCATCTTTTTTTACAAATCTGAATAGTCTCCAATATGATACAACATTTGACATCTTGCAAGCTTTTCTTGAAGTTGCCAAATTTGCTGCAAAAAAATCCGACTATTCGGAGCAGTGAAACTTTAGAAGCTTTTCAAATGGGTAAAAGCTAAAGGACACATTGTCGGGCCAACATAAGAGTAAATGTCCTTCCTAGGGTCCCCAGTAACGTCCATTTGTTTTGATTCCCAGCCTGTCAAGTGCAAAACAAGACCGCACCGCATATACTCCTCCCAAACTTCAGCATCGTTGTTTGTGTCGAAAAAATTGGTAGCTGCTTTCCATCGTTGCATGAACGTAAATACAAAAGAGGGCAAAATGGTGAGTGTCGGACTTGAATAGGGCAAAGTCAACAATCGCGGACGACTAGATGTTATTAGAGTTCTTAAGTTGGCAAACTTTACTGTAAGGTATGCTTGCAAAAAAGAGACACAACACTGAGTTATGACTGGAGTGTATAACTCATAGAGTAATTTCGGATAGGGTACACCGTCTGCTCGTCACGCTATCTTATTTTCGGCCGGATAGATTCGTGCAACTTCTTAGTCTAATACCGATCCTAATCTTACTCTTATACTATCTAGTCTCAGGTTGTTTAACTAGTCTCTGCTAGGCTCAATAGATCTAGGGTATACTGGTTTTTTGCGGCTGCTGAAGTTCCTTTGGAGAGGCAACTAATTTCTAAGTTAAATTCAAATCTCTCTGGTGCTGAAATTACAAGTAATTTCAGCACTTACAAATAAGTGGGTTGTTAGTTAGATGGATCATGATTGGTTAATATTAAACACTTTACAGTGGTAAAGTATCTAATTTATCCAATCATAAAATGTAGTTTAGATCAGGTTCCACCCATCCGGGTTTTACAGAGTTTTTTAGAATAGTCTTTCTGCAATTCAAAGGATGGATGATGGAAGTTGGTATTTGGCGAACATCATATTTCTTCTGGGTTCTCTTGTTAGAGAAGTTCCAGGTTCAATCGCTGTGTCTTCTCATGACAACGACTGGGTTTTCGCAACAAACTCAAATCTGATTTCAGAATGGTTGGCTATGACAGGTTTTTCTGTTCCATGTAGAGAACTTCTTTTGGGTTGACCTTGTCTGGGAATGGCGTGGAGATTGTGCGTGGAGGAGATGCCTGGTTACTCGGATCTGTACGTATACTTGAACATCGAGGTGGTCATTGTTCTAGTTCAATGAAGTCCTTTTCTGCGAAGTCAAGTCGTACTCTAAATCCTTTGAGTTGTGATTGTGGGCGGCATATTGATTGTGGTTGGCCATTCTTTTTCGAGTGTAGTGGGGTCATTTTGTCTTTGGATGTTCGTCTTTGGTGTTGTATGCTGATCTATATACTGCAAGGTGTAATTTACATTTTATAAAATTTTTATTAGTTTGGTGTTTTAATTATGGTTTTGGTTAGTTGTTTTCACAAAAGCTTTTTGTTTTAGTTCGGTTATTTTGAAGAGTTACTCACCCTTGAGTACCTCTTATTAAAAATAGGAGTGTGGTCACAAAGCGTGGATGTAGCGCGGTGGGTTAGTCCGGCTATAGAGCATGCTCAGGACGTCCTCTCTGGTGGGTTAGGCCAGGAGTGGGAGTATGATTTCGTGCGGTTTCTGTGAGAGGTCCTGTTATGTGATAACTTTTTATGTTGGGTTTATTGTGGTTTTTCTTATGTTTCGTTGGTTGTGTCCTTCTTTCAAAAATCAAATTGTTTTTGGTATGGGTTTGTCTTTCGACTTTTTTGTGTTTTATTATTTCTTTCTTAGACTTTATAATAGTCTTCAAAAGAATAAATTATCCAGTTTTAAACTGGGTTAATCCGGTTTGGGTACCGTTGGTTTCCTTTTCTTAGTCATGCTGTTATTCTATGTGTTGTGGTGTTTAGTAAGCTGCGTTGGTTAGTTTTGTTTAGTATATAATTCCTTTCCAACCGGGTTAAAGGAAAGTTTGAAACTTGTTATCGTGTGTTAGAGTTGTTGAGTGTGAAAGCTTGAAACTGAAATTCATTATTTAAACAATTCTTCGTGGGCGAGCTGTGCGAGTTTGGATAGAATTCTTGTGCGAGTGAATGGAAATATCAAAAGGTTAGTACTGCATTTTCGTCTTATCAATTTACTACATAGAATTTCAATTTTACTGCTAGTTTTGGGGAAAAAATAAGTTACAAATTTTCATCATTATTAGAATTACTGCTTTTAGGGAAATAATTTATAAATTAATTTACTACATTGGTTTGATTTTTATTGAATTTATCTAGTGCAAAATATTAATAGAGTTTTAAATGAAGAAGTTTTCTATTTTTTATTTTTCTTTTGTGTAATTTGTAGGTGATCGTGGGATGAAGACTAAGAATCTAAATGAGACATGGATAAAGAATGGTTAGTTTTTTAATTTGAATTTATTAGTTAAGAATATGTATAAATTATACTTACCTGTTAGTCGTCGGGGAAAAAACCGTGGGGGAAGATGTCGTGTATTATGTCGGAATTAGTTAGTAATTTTGCTAGTATGCGAATGATGTTTTTAGTTTGAAGCAGTGGCCAAAGCAATTGAAGTGCTTTAATGGTTTTTAGTTCTTCAGAGCCAACTGCAAAATCATAAGGTGTGTTTTGGATGAGATTATATAATTTGTGATTGTATTTAGTGTTGTGGATGAATTCTAATATTGGGATTTCTATAGGTTGAATAAATTCATGTGGGATAAGGAAGGGTCTGGATTCTTCTGCGTTGAAGGTCTTCGTGATGGAACAAAAATTATACATTTGGGTTATGGGATCATAATTGCGAAGAATACCGTGAAGGTTAGTATCTTTGATGCAATATGTGAAGTTAAGAAAAAATGGTGAAGTGTTTCTAATTCAGCGAGTGACATTTCTTGAAAAATGCGGCTAATTGTGTAGTCTAATTTCATATCTAGGTGAATATCATAGTGGGTTTATTGTGGTTTTTCTTATGTTTCGTTGGTTGTGTCCTTCTTTCAAAAATCAAATTGTTTTTGGTATGGGTTTGTCTTTCGACTTTTTTGTGTTTTATTATTTCTTTCTTAGACTTTATAATAGTCTTCAAAAGAATAATTTATCCAGTTTTAAACTGGGTTAATCCGGTTTGGGTACCGTTGGTTTCCTTTTCTTAGTCATGCTGTTATTCTATGATTTGTGGTGTTTAGTAAGCTGCGTTGGTTAGTTTTGTTTAGTATATGATTCCTTTCCAACCGGGTTAAAGGAAAGTTTGAAACATGTTATTATATGTTAGAGTTGTTGAGTGTGAAAACTTGAAACTGAAATTCATTATTTTAAACAATTCTTCGTGGGCGAGCTGTGCGAGTGTGGATAGAATTTCTGTGCGAATGAATGAAAATATCAAAAGGTTAGTACTGCAATTGCATTTTATTAATTTACTGCATAGAATTTGGAAATTTACTGCTAGTTATGGGGGAATTTTAAGATACAAATTTTCATTATAATTAGATTTACTGCTTTTTGGGGGAAAATTTTATAAATTAATTTACTGCATTGGTATTATATTTATTTAATTGTTGGTGCAAAAGTTTAATAGAGTCTTAAACAGTTTTGAAGAAGTTTGCTATTTTTTATTTTTCTTTTGTTTTTGTGTATTTATCTTTGATTAATATTTTACTGTTTAGGATGTTAATTGTTGGTATATACTTTGAAATAAATGGTATTCCAATGATATTATATTTAATATCAGTGATATGGAATATTTGTTTAAATGGCTTGTTTAGAATTTTACTTTGTTCCATTGTTCTGGTGGGGAGGAGAAATAATTGGATTTTTCCGTAGTTTATCAATGTTGATCCTTGTGCTGTTGCTAGTTTACTGGAGGTTTCAAGAGGTGTTAGCTTTGGATGTAAAGTTTTTATTTCATTCCATGTGGGAATGTTTATTATGTTTGATTCTGCTCCTGAATCAATTAAAAAATCTATTTCAAGGTCTGGTGGTTGAAATTCTTTATTTCTTGGGCTTTCTAAGAGAAATGGTATTGTCCAAATTTTTTCTTTGGGTTGTTCTTTTTGTATATTTTGGTAGATATGGTTTGTATTCAAGCATTTTGTTTTGACATTTTGATTGGGTTGTTCTGTAGTATTTTTTGCATTTGTTTCTTGCGTTGTTGGTGTGGAATTTATGGGTGTAGTGTAATGATTTTGAAGAAATTCTGATTGATTTTCATATATATGTGATGGAAAGGGTTGTTCATATATGACAGATTCATAGTCATTTTCGACTTTTATCATATTGATAGAACGAGTGTTTTCAGTATCACTTTCTGAATCTGATGATGTACAGTTTATTTGATTGAGTTGTAACGCATCAGTTACTGTGTCATCAATACCTGGAGGGTCTGATGTAGTTTCTGGGTTAGATTGTACTTGATTGATTTGCCTTTGATGTTTAGGTGTATTACTTCTGTGGCGATTATTAGAATTATTATAGTTATTATTATTCCTATGTGGTGATTGGGAATAATTTCTATAACGATTATTATAACTTGGGTGTCGATTTTGTGAATTATTTCGCGATCTGTTTTGGTAATTATTGTTTGGTCTGTTATAGTTTGATCTATTATATGAGTTATTTCTTGATCGATTGTTCGGGTAATTCTGGTTTCGGTTGTTTGAATAACTTCTATTTCTATTATAGGAGTAGTTTCTATTCCTATTGTATGATGAATTTCGTGACTGGTTGTTTGGATAGTAGTTATTTCTTGATTGGGAATTAGATCTAGAAACAAATCGTTGTGTATTTGAATTTGATCTGGAGTAGTTATTTCTACTATTTGGTCTATTGTAGTGATTTTGTGATGAATTATACGTGTTTCTTCGTTCTGGTGATCTTCCTCTATAACTTGAGTTATATGGGGATTGATTTCTTGTATAGCTTGTATTGTTCGGGAGTGGTTTTCCTGAACTGTTGTTGCTGTGAACTGTTTTGTTCGGTAAATTTTGATCTTTTTTCATGTATTGATAGAATGATTTATTTGGTTCTTTGTATTTTTGGGGTTTATTTTGACTATCTTGCTGTTTTTGTCTACATTCGGAAATACTATGTCCGTATCGTCGGCAATAATTACACCATTTTTTGAAAGATGGTTTGCCTTTAAAGTTCGGGTTCTTTTCGTAAATATTGAGTATTTCAGTGATTTTTTCAACGAGGTCTGTTTCTGATTCCTGTATATTATTAATATTAGTGGGAGTCTTTTCAATTTTGTTAACGTATTGTAATTTCAGATTTTCCGTTTCTTCTAGTTTCATCGTGATTTCTGCTTGTTCTAGTTTGTCTACTAGTTTTCTAAAATCTAAATCGGGTTCTCGAATTGAAGAAGGATGTGATGCTCTCTTTTTTATTGCTATTTTCCTTAATTGTGGTGTTAAGGTCATCATTAAGATTTCTGTCATCTTTGTATTTTTATAGTCATGTGTATTTAGTGAGTATGCTTTTCGAACTAGTGTTTCGATTCGTACTGCTATTTGCTTGATGGTTTCGTTTGGTAATCTGCGAATTTCATTACATAAAACTCTTTGTTGTTGTTTGTTTCTTTCGGAGTCAAACATTTTTGAAAATTCTTGTGTAACTCTTTTCCAGTTTGATTTTATTTCTAGAGGTAGTACTGAAAACCATTTTTGGGCTGCGCCATCTAAGGTTGTTTGTATCAACGCTGTGCGTCGATGTATCCAGTTTTGATGTAGTGGCGTATTAATTGGTTCAGGTCCTATATTTAAAATCAAATTTGCTGTTACTGCATTTAAGTAATCTTCTACAGAGTATTCAGGGTCTGTTCCTGTGAAAACCATTAAAGGTTTGTTTGATGTTATTGATGATCCACCCATAAGGTATGGATTCATTGTCATTTGTAATGATTCTGCTGCATTTGGCATTTGAGAAAAATTTGAAAGTTGGTTTCTTGTTATTTCATGTTGTTGGAGATAATATGGTAGTGGTATTTCATTTTGCATTTGTGATGGTTGATAGGAGTGTGCAGTCATTGGATTTTGTTGTTGAATTGGTTGAAAAGATTGCGTATTAATTAGATTTTGTTGTTGAATTGGTTGTTGATGTTGTGCATTTATTGGTTGTGGAGAAAAATTTCTATGATTTGTACGTGTTCTCTGTATTCCTTGTCTACGATATTCTTGAGTATTTTGTGCAAATATATCTGGCTGTAAAAAATCATCATCTGAGGATAAATAATCCATTTGATAAGATGTTTGTTTTTTATTTTTATTTTGTTGAAAAAATGGGTAATTTTCACTGCGATCCTGTGGAGGATTTGGTTGAAAATTTTTGGAATTATATTGGGCCGTTGGGTTATCCCAGTTTCGAGGTTTTGTATATTGATTAAAATTCCTTTGTGGTTGATAATTTGTTTTTGACGGATGTGTATAATTATAATTATGGTCTGCAAAGTTGTTTCTAGTGAATGTTTTGCGTGTTTTTGATGGTATTGTCATGGGTCTGTATGTTTGGTAATCCATTTGTGAATATTTAGGGGCAACCGAAGGTTTAACGGTTGATTGTAAGGTTACCTGTGTTTGTGAAGGATTTTTATTTCTTGGTGTTGTTAAATTTGGGCGTATTGGTGAAAGACTTTGTTGTGTAGTTGTTGTGTGTACAATTTCTTCATTTATGAAGTGTGATGGTGTCTGGATATCTTGTTGAGTAAGATTCCTAGTTCCATTGAGGTTTTCGTTGTGTATGACTGTAGAGTTTAAACTATTATTTTGTGTATCGGGTAAAAATGTATTATAGTTTAATGGTGTTGCATCAATTGTTAATGGTATTACTCTTACATAATCTCTTATGTAAGATATTGTACCTATTGCTTGACTTGAGATTGATTGTGGAAAGCTTATAAATGCGGGATGAGACCATTCGGGGTCCCAAACATAATCTGATTGTTCTGTGATAGCGGTATCATCGTTCGAATTTTGGGGTCTAAAATTTTTTCTTGCTTGTGCAATTAAATCAATATTATGTGTGAAATAATCTATTATGAACCATGCCAAAATTTTTTGTAGATCGTGTTTGGTATGTTGTGAAACGTCGTCTTTCGTGAAATTTTCTTTAATGATGTTTAAATAACTAGAGAGTAGTGTGATTTCATGTCGCACTCTTAAATGTTTAGATGTTTCTGTCGGTGAGACATTTGTTAATGGGAGTTCATTTTCTAATATCGAAATATAACTATATATTATTGCGAAAACTTCATTGGTGAAAATGGAGTTTGCTCTTTGTGAGTTATGGTATTGGATGCTTTTTATATATTCTGAAAAAACTTTTGAAAATTCTAAATCAAGATCGTCTGTTTGTATGGTATATGTTCTATTATTATGGTTTGGTGAGGTGAATTCTATAGAGTAGATTCCATACTGTTGTGTTATGTTGCATATATCTTTTAGATAGTGATCTATGATTTGTCTTTTGATTTTTACATCGGGGAACTCTGTTTTACATGGACTGATTCCGGGTTCAAATAAATTTACGAGTAAATTTTGACAAAATATGTGTTGTCCTCTATCAGTATCTGCGTCTACTATAAAGGGAAAGATTTCATCATCATCTGGAGTTTCGTCACCTGGGGTGTGCGTTGAGCTCATTTTTTCGTTCGATGACTGTTAATATGTAATTATTAATGTGTCGAATTGGTTGATTCCAATTGTATAGATGTACTGGTTTGTGTTTGTACTGCTTTTTTATTCTTCTTTTTCCTCTTTGTGATGAATTTGAAGTTGTTTCTGAGTCAGAGAAATATAATTGATCGTGAAGTGGGTAATTTTTATCTATTGATTCTTTTAGTTTGTAAAGTTCGTCTAAACTGTTGGTTTCTGATTCTGAAAATGCGTTTCGATTTTTTGAAAATCTTTTTCGTGTTATTTGTCTTTGTTTAGTTATTATTTTCCTCTTTAGTGTTTGTCGTTTTGTTCGAATGTATCCAACTGTTTGTGTATGAGGTGTGATTACAAGGTCGTATTTTTTGTTATCTATTTCACAATTGTGTAAAATGATTGTTTGTTTATTTCCTAGGTTTTTAAATGACATAAGGTTTAGAATGACGGATGCAAAAGGTTGTTAAATGATTTCTATTTTCCTAAACTGTTAGTTCTTACGATTTTTTGGTTAGCTTAACCTGGGTCTATTTGTTCAGGGTTGGAGAGAAAAGTATATCGATTCCGAAGAATGATTTTTACTTTCTCGTGACTAGTATAAGCTAAGGTGTTAACTTACTTAATCTTACTTAGGGGTAGTGATTGTGTTCAAGGGTTGGAGAATAGTAAATCAATCCACAAGGTTCAGGTATAATTAGAACGCGAGTAGTTCGTTAGGTACTATTTTAAACTTACTAAGTCTAAGATTTATCCTGGGTCTGGTAAGAGGGGGGGTCAAGTGAAGGATGAATAACCGAAGTTCTTCACTGTTTATCCTAATTTGAATGATTAGTTTTGTTTAAAAATTTCTATTAGTCTTGGGTCTTTAGAAAGGGTTGGGTAGTGAATCGACGTTTGAGGTCGTTAGACACTAATTAAGTGGGTGGGGGAGAACAAAATTGTTCTGTTTGATCCAAGGATAAGCCTTGATGATCAAATTTAAAATTTAATTAAGTAGAAAATGATGTAAGATCCAAGGATAAGCCTTGATGATCTGGTTTTAAAATTAAGTGACTTTAAATTTTAATAAAGTTTTAAATTTGTGTAAAGGAAAGATTTAGTGTTTTGATGATATTAGTAAGTTGATGATTGCTGTTATGTTTTAGGTGATGAAGCTGGAACAACAGGATGATTTATGATTACTAACCATTTATTGTCATGCTACTAATTTTTATTTTTATTTTCCAATAAATATTTTTCAAACATGTTTTGTATATTACTGCAGAGTTTTAGAAAAACGATCTTAGATCTTTTTATCAATCGTTATTGTATAATATTAATTTTGTTTAGCGCCTGAAATGATTTTGAAGAGTAACTTCAAGGTTTTATGTTTGCAAATGGAAATCTAAATTCATTGCAAGTAGTATTCGAAATATAAAAGTTTGTTCTGGCTTTTGCCGAACTATCATATAACTATACGGCAAGTTTCTACTTTGTCGTATGTCGTCTTTGGTTCGATGTCTTCTTCCAATTCCGGGTAGTTCTATTATGGTTCGGAATATTGGCTCTGATCTATTGAGTCGGAGAGACATTTCAATTAAATTATTGTCGTATAACATTTTGTAAATGTTTTTGTCTAATTTCTAATCTATTTTTGGTTAATTCTAATCTAGTAAGGTCTTGTTCGAGACTTATGGTCGCACCAGATGAGTTATGACTGGAGTGTATAACTCATAGAGTAATTTCGGATAGGGTACACCGTCTGCTCGTCACGCTATCTTATTTTCGGCCGGATAGATTCGTGCAACTTCTTAGTCTAATACCGATCCTAATCTTACTCTTATACTATCTAGTCTCAGGTTGTTTAAGTAGTCTCTGCTAGGCTCAATAGATCTAGGGTATACTGGTTTATTGCGGCTGCTGAAGTGCTCGGGAGAGTCCAACTAATTTCTAAGTTAAATTCAAATCTCTCTGGTGCTGAAATTACAAGTAACTTCAGCACTTACAAATAAGTGGGTTGTTAGTTAGATGGATCATGATTGGTTAATATTAAATACTTTACATTGGTAAAACATTTAATTTATCCAATCTTAAAATATAGTTTAGATCAGGTTCCAACACACTGTCTTGCGGATTTTTTGTTTTCTTGCTGCTTTTTTCGGTTATTTATTTTTCTAAGCTGCTTTTAGTTTGATCATGTTGCTATCACCAAATCAGAAGCGGATCTCGGTACTTTTTTCAAAGTCGTCATCGACTTTTCGTTCTTTTAGGTCGACCAAAATGAAATTCCGACCACATCAAAAAGCAATAAAAATACCCTAAATTGTTCCAAAAACATGTCTGACCACTGTTTGCCATTTCTTAGCCTTTTTGTGAATAGTTTGGATTGAAAAAAACTGTCTCCCCCTCAAAGTAAAGTGATATTGGCCGCAAAAGCATCATTAGAATGACTCAGTCAAATCTTTAGGCCAGTCACTCCCGTCATCTTAAATCCACTACTTAACTTAATTTGATTCCAAATGACAACACTTGAAAGTCTGCTTCAGATTTCATCCGCGATTGTCGAGTTTTTTCACCTGGTGTAGTTATGAGCCGCGTCGTTTGGATCTCGTTTCAGCAATCGGTTCGCAGCTCTTCTCATTCCAACCGGTCCAATGTGAAACCAGCCCAAATTGGGTCTATATATTTGCTTCACTTCTTCCAAATAAAGTTGCAAGAAAGGGTTTCCGGCTTCAAATTGCATCACTCCGTTGCTGATCAGATCATCGAACTGGTCCATAGCCAGTTTGCAGTCGTTTGTTGGCTTAGCATAACCTGGGAAAATAAAAAAGCCAACATAATTCACATTTGACAGAATGTTCCGAGCAGAAAAAAATCCTCATGTCAGAACGACCAAATACCCGAACATTATGGAAGCAGAAAGTATAATTCAGTGTTCTAAAATTTGAAGAAAAAAAGGAAAATCTGTCAGTTTTTGGACTGTTTGAAGCACATTTATTGGTTGAATGTTTTCAAATTTTTATGTTTTTTTTTAAAACCTTTTTCCCTTTGTAATAGTTTCTTTTATTGATTGGAAGATCACTTGGTGGAAATAATTTTGTCACTGTAATTTAAGATGAATCAATTTTTAAGAAATGGAAACTGGAATGGTGATTTTTTTTAAAAAAAAGCTGACCTTCTAGGCCGATGCTATTTTTGATCTTTCTCAAATCGGTCCTGACTATTGTATCAAAGTCGAGATAGAAGCCACCAAATTTATACAGCAACACTACTCGCATAATGTCGCTAATATGCACTAATGTATTTTGGTTGTCGTAGTTCAACTGTGACGAAAATCCTTCCAAAATTGTACCCATCAATAACTTGTCGAAATTTATTGTGTAAAATTTTACTCTGTGAGGGTAAAATTTAAAGACTAAGTCTCGTAGTTGGGGTTCCGAGAAATTCAAATATGATGACGTCATTATGACGTGAACTGAAAGTTTGGAAAACCGAATAGCCGACTCAACTGAGCAAACCCATCTTCCAGGAATAGTTGACTTGTTGTAAGATTCGATATAAAATATCTGCTTGTTTTTAGTTGACGATGTTGGTACAAAATGCGGTAGTTTGATAACGTCGCCAAAAACATGTGGCAATTTTCTCGAAAATATGTTTATTTCAAAGACACCTAAAACACAAAAGGGTAAAAACTAACATCATCTTCCCTTAATATACTAGTAGGATCCCCTAACATACTGATAATAGTTCAAAATTTTGAAGAGAAGATAGGATTTTTAGATCTATTTAACTAGCCTTCCATTTTTGAACGGAATTAATTATAGCGTCTCAAAAATGCTGATTTTTTGAGCTCAAATTTGAAAAAATGAAAATGCTTCTCCTGCGATAGTTTGTGTTAACGTAAGGTTGGTTTCAAAATAGCCAATTTGGCGAAATTGGGACTGATAACGCGTGGTGGCTATTCTCATGGGCGAAAGACCGAATCGTCGAAAGACTCATGGGCGAAGGACCGAAAACATAAACAGCTGAAGGTCGACTATTAAAATGAATCAATTGCCGCTCATCAAAAAGAAATTAAGTGAAGCAATGTTTTACTTCTTTTATAATGAATTCCTTGAGTATAAAGCTTGTTTCAAGTTGCCGGCGGTCAGTGAAAACTTGAAAATTTTGCATATTTCTGCAGTTTTTATATTCGGCCTATAATATTATTAAGTTACTGGAAATGTTTACTTTTTTGAAATTTCCAATTTTTGAAACACTGAACTGTGATTGGCGGATTTTTTTGCCCATTTGGTTTTTCGCCTATGTGGGATTCCACCTTTACGTGCAATATATTTTGTTCTATACATAAACATCTAAGCGACAATATATCCCGGCTTCGAAATTGTTCTTAGTTGATATTTGAAGTATGCTAATTCAAATTTTAAATTGTTTCTAGACGCAAATTACATACTTTTGTAATTAGCGCAGCGTGCAGGGGGTTATTTTCAGCAAATTTTGACAAAAAGGCCATTTTGTCAATTTTCTTGAAATTTTAACAGTTGTTATAGTTCTCAAAAAAGTCCTTATATGTGGGATTCCACCTTTACGTGCAAAATATTTTGTTCTATACATAAACATCTAAGCGACAATATATTCTGGCTTCGAAGTTGTTCTTAGTTGATATTTGAAGTCTGCTAATTCAAATTTTAAATTGTTTCTAGACGCAAATTACATACTTTTGTAATTAGCGCAGCGTGCAGGGGGTTATTTTTAGCAAATTTTGACAAAAAGTCCATTTTGTCAATTTTCTTGAAATTTTAACAGTTGTTATAGTCCTCAAAAAAATCCTTGTTCTTTATATCATAATGAGAAGGGACCGACTTTTTACCAGATCGATGAACAAATTTGATTAAAAAAAATGTAATGACACTGTTTAGTCTGATTAAATACAATGGTTTCACAGTTTCTCAGCAACGTTTTGTTTGTTCTGACCGCTTCCTTTTCGACTCTTAAACTAATTTAAATTTAGCTTAATTGAGCTATTGCATTTCCGTCTGGTAAAAAATTGGTCTGGTATAAATTGGGTCCGGTTAAGACTTAGCCCCATAATGAGAAAATAGAACACACACTGCTTTGTTCTGATGCAAACAGTCCTATTTTGAATTCAAATTGACTAGCTTTGCGTGTAAACTTATCGATAACTCATTTTTGAACCCAGTGAACATCCTGCCCTAAACCAATTCAGCTAACTGGGTCTCAAAAAAATGATCTGAACTTGATTTTTAGATTATTATACAAGCAAAAATCAGAAACCCGTTATTTTTATTTGACAAACGCCCAGGATCAAAACAACATAATGCAATAATAAGTATGATATAACTTTTTGCATTAGAGGGTGTGACTAATTCATTTTTTCAAATTTTTATTACAAAATAATTTCTCTTACATTCTAAGTTGAAAACATTGTTTTTTTATCCAATATTTCATCATGCATTTGATGTTCTCAAAAAGTTGAAAATGGTTTTTGCATCAAATTTTTTTGCTTTAGCAGTAAAAAAGAAAAAAATAGTTATTGAAGTATAGTTTGGTGCTCTCTATCGTTTCATTGCTTTATATATACTTAAGAAATCAGCACAGCTCGATTTATTTAAAACCAGCTAGTGATGTTGATGAGTGATAATTTCATAGATTTATTTTCGTGAAGTTTGGGGAGCTCAGAACAGACAGATTGCATCAAAGTTGTCTTCAAAATTGTTCCAAATTGGTTGAAAGAAACTTATTTGCCGTAATTGATTTGTTACTAGGAGCAAAATTTATTAACTTTTACTAAATATGTGGCGTGGGTTGGGTGTGATTTTAACAAAAAATCTCAAATTAAAGAAAAAAAAATCATTTTATTTTTTTATATTTAATGTTTTCATGTTATTACTGCTCCATAGACCTTAACAGCCAGTCAAGTTAATCATGGCTTCGCCCTGTTACGAGCAATCTTGATCAATTTTAAAACCACGCCTTAAATTGCAAAACTAACAATTTTATAGTGAAAAATTGTTGTTCCGACGAGTGCGGAATATCTATGCTATGTGTGTTTTTTTTTATTCAGTCAGTTTTCGACTTCCTAACTGAGCGTTTTCGACTGTTTTTTATACCATCTAGAAAATATTGTTTTCTTGAGTTCAAATTCAAAAGGATATTTTACCGGTGATCCTTTTTTGTAGAGTTGCGGGTATTTGAAAATTGCTAATTTGGCCAATTCGAGACAATTAACGCGCGACATATTGCGTTCTAATAACAAGCGTAAGCGGCGGATCAATGTTTTCCAACTTCAATTGAGGCCAACAATTTCGTCCTATTAACACAATACGAGACGCTAAACACACCCTCAGTACTTAATATTGTGTGAGGAGAGATAGAATGAAGAAAAACTGGAATATGTTTTTTTCTTTTTTCTCATTTTTTTGTCAATTAAAAAACCAGTAAAATTTTTTCTAATTGGCCTCAAGTACAGTCGGAACATTCAGGACTTCGCCTTGATATACGAGCAGTCTTGTTGGGTTTTCTGGTAACCTTATCACTAACCTGGTTCCTCATTAAGGACTTTCAATGGTTTTATAGTTATTGTTTTGACATTTCAATTGTTCAAGCAGCTTCAATTGAGGTAAAAAATATTTGTTTTCGGAATGAACTGTTTTCATGCTAAAAAGCATTTACAATAACTGGAAAATTTGAAATTACAGAAGTTGCATTTTTTTATTTCTCAGTAGTGGAGATAAAGCTAACGCTACTCTTTCTTTATCAAAAGATCTAGTTTTTTTCTAAAGCTTTTGAGCATGCGTTTTTTTTTCATACTATATATCAGCATAATTTCAAGAGAACTAGAAATTTTGGATCTTATTGGAATAGCCCAACGAAGAAACGCTGAGCCATTGGAACTAGCTCCAATGATCAAAATTGCCGTTTGTTCCCAATTATTTAAGTAATTATTAGAAAACCGTAAAAAAAACTAAGCTTGTTTTGTAAATTTAAAAACTACTAATTTGTCTGATCGTTATCTCAAAACACTGAATCATACGGAAACATTATTAATTCGGGTACTTGATTAATAAGATTTTTAAGTTTCACTACATCTGTTTTGTCTGCCACAAAAACCCAATGACAAAACATTTGTGCTGTTTTCTTTCCATACCTGAACAAAACCATTTGCAATAAAACATCAGGACAATAAAAACAATGAGTAAAGATGGGATTGTTTTTGATCGCATCTTACCGCACGTAAAAAAGCGGTAATAGTATAAATGAAAAACTTAAATAATTTCGCTAAAATTTTATATTCGTTGAAGTTGAATAGCGCAAATCGAGAAAGAATTCAATCCGCTGAACAATTTAAGGCCTCAAATGGAACTGGCCTAAAATAAAATGTTCTATCTGTGTTTCAGAAAGCTTTTTTAACAGACATCTAAAATTGTTGCTTAACATTGTTTCTGAAAAAATGATTCAAAGATGTTTCTCTCACAAATGGAGCAAGCTTTTTTCGGTACTTTCATATATTCCAGATCAAAAAAATTGACCAAATCAAAATCAAAAACATTTGAACTTTTGCAAAAAAAATAATTCGTTTAATTAATTTTTTCTTCACGAAGTTCGCGTTTAATTTTGTCAATTAGTGTACGATGAAGCAAAATGATTAACATTTAAAAAAATGGTTACAAATGAAGATAACAGAAAACCAGCTCTATTATTTCCATTGTTTTGAAGCACTTGCGTTTGACAGCAGCTGAGTTTTATTGTAACAGCTTTAACAGAGTTTTGTTATACCAATTTTGTCAAAAAGAGGAGATCTTTGTATTCTAGTTTTTGACAATAAAAAATTGGATTTTCAAGAAAGTTGGCAAACACCTAATTAATAAAAAAAGAGTAAAAAGACTGTTCGCGTGGGTAAGTGCCTCCTCAAAAAACACCGGGATTTTAGCAATGCTTTTAATTATTTTCAACAGAGACACACAAATAAGCGACAAACACTCGTCCTCGCTCATTATAATACACAGGAAAAGTGAGCTATAATACTTGTGCCAAATGCAACGACACAGGATCGAAGCAGGCCAAGTGTTCGATCCTCGTCAGTGCCTCTTTTGAAGCCAGTGCTTTAGTTTGTCAAGTGTTTAGAGTCTGCTAAAGGTCGGCTAGCTAAATGAACGGTTTGCTAGAAAATCTAGTCACTTAGAAGTTGATTTTGATTCGCATAAAAAGTTCATATAATAGGTAGCAAAAAGTTGGACAGTCAGAAATAATTTTAAAAAGCAATCGACTGATTTCCTCATTTATTTAGCATGCAAAAGTTAAACTGGGTAAACTTGGTAGGGAGATGGGGCGGGGATAAACCCAAGAGGGGTAAACCGAAGAGAAGTAAGCCGAAGAGGGGTAAACTGGGGAAATAGTTGTTAAAAGAGGCGATTGAGTTTACGTAGTATAAAAAAAGTCGAGAAAACTTAAATAAATAAAATCTTATGTAAAAAATAAAAATTTATGAAACGTAATACGTAGCAACTGTGCACGAAACAAGAAATGAGATAACTTTGAAAAAAAATTTGCAAAGTTCATAATTTCTACAAAAAAAATTATAATTGAATGGATTATAATAGATTATTATCGATAATGACGGATTATATTGATATAAAAGATGCTAAGATTATAATCCAATTTTGATGGATTATAATCAATTTTTTTTAATAAAATTTCATAGATACTGACCATAAAATGACAAAATAATTGATTATTATCCATGGAACTCCAGTGCGGGCGGCTACAGATTTTAAGCGAAAAGATGTGCCACGTGAACTTTAGATTTTATGTTTGTTCCATTTTTACTTTTTGCTTATGTCTAAAGAGTTGCTTTTCTTAATTAATTCTGCTTCTTCCAACATTTTGCAACTCTCTATATGTACAAGCTATTTTACTCCTTAATTAGCGGATCAATTGAAGCCAAAAATGCACTAATTTTACAGCAGGCGAAAACTCTACAGAAACAATTGTCTTAATTTATGTGTTTAAAAATCAACCCATAGAGCAGTGGTATGGAACAACCCAACCCTATCTGTTTGATTCACTCATCCAGAAAAACCGGCATTCATTGAAAATTATTTTTCAGTCTGATATGATAAGGATGCTTTAGTTAAAAAATTATCAAACACTATGGATTGATCTACCTCGTATTTTTTTTGAATTTCAGCTAGTCCCTACTGATGCGCCAAATAACGCAAGCCATTTTTTTTTCAGCTAGCCCATGCTTAAGCCAACTGGCGCTAAGAAAAATAAGTAGGAAAATCAGTTAACTGAATAAACAGACTACATTATTTTTGTTGGGAGTTTTAGACGACAAAATTAATTAAGTATGAGAAATGAGGTTCAATAACGCGGTGATGCAAAAAAAAAATGGAACCCCTGAGTCAGTAAATCTAAGCACCGGTTAGTTTTTTTTTCAAGCCATTTACAGATGAAAGTGTGGCTGATCACCAAAACTGTGCTTCAAATTAAAAATAGTCTCAGTTTCACTTCTCTCAATTGGCGATATATTGACAAGCATAAAGCTCAATTAGCAAAAAAAAATTAAAAAAAAAATTGTATCGACTAGCACAAAATCAAAACAGAAAAATATTGACAAACTTAAAATCATTATTCACAAAAAGTGTATTTTAATCGCAATTTTTTCCCACAATTCACAAATTGCGCTGCGATCAGTGGTCGCTTCAAGTTAATTCAGTTTGGATTGCAACTAATCACCAATTATGTTTCAAAGAAATTCCTGTGCTCAGTAATTGCTCAATTTTGTATTATTCCATTTCTCAAATGCCTTTTATTTTTCGAAATTTTGATTTTTTCAAATTTTTATAGAACTCGAGTTTGTGTGGAAAAGCCTTGAAAATTATACAGGCTCAAATTTAATTTTTCGCGGTCTGACCGTTGATTTCTTTTCAAGTCCAGTTCATTTCCTTCTAGTTCTGAAAAAGGAAGTCATATATCAGATTTTCTAGCGAAATAAAATTAATCCAGCTTTTTCAAATTGTGTTAGTTTCGTTTCAAATGTATATTGTCAATCATGAATTGTTTCAGAAATTTAAAGAGCTCTAAGGTCATCTATTTTTTCTTCGGTGATTTCCCATAGGTTCCAATATTCATAGGTTCCAAAATAAAAAATCAGTCGCATAAGTTCAGAATTTATCTTCTTGAATTATGATTGGTTGAAATTTGAGCCAACGAATTTATGGATTGATTGCTTAGTGTTCAACCAGCATAAACTCAAGCTGCAGAATAGTGATCGCCGCAGCCGCGCCAACGTGTTGCGAGCTTGCCACCAAAGGTTAGGACTCTATATGAAATTTAGAGCCGGTTATCGCCGCGAAGTGGCGACGCGCGTATAGCGAGCCCACCAGCGACCTTAAACCGAGACTCGTCTAATTTAGTATTTTGACCAATTAAAAATATTTGGAACTTATGCGACTGCTTTTTTATTTTGGAATCTATGGGACTGATTTTTTATTTTGGAACCTATGAATACGCACCCTTTTCTTCGAACTTCGGAGTTCGGAAGCTCAAAAACAACAAATGAGTATTTGTTCTGTTTGCTTGCGTTCCTTGACTGGTTTTTGGACACAATAAGCTGTATGCTTGATCTCTGGTCCCAATGCCAACTACGTGCTTCGCCTAACCGCTCGCATCTTTTTGAAATCATGACTACAATTTACGTAATATATAAAATTTAGGTGGTATATAAAATTTATTGGCCAGATAAGCAAAAGAAGAAAAGGTCTGATTTTTTTCAAGCTCGTACTTTGGCCAATGACTGATTTTTTGCGTCTCTTTCGCCTGATTTTGAATTTGTTTGTTTGATCATAAGGTACATATCACGGGTGGCGTGGCACGGAGCCGATTTCACAGAAAGCCAAAAAAAACTCGTTCCCGGATAGCCTAAAGCTTAATGAATATTACAGGTCGAGGTGGGCCTGGCACTGTTCGTGCCCAGTCACTTTCGATTGATTTCAGCTATAGTGGAACAAAAGTTTTTCGGCTCTCCGGGATTTCGACTCAAACCATATCGAATACACACTTTATCTTGTATACCGTCTTTCAAATGGGAACCAACTGGGAACAGTTCTTATCTGGTCTCGCAACCAAGGTTTAGTAGTTCGAAGCAACTTAAAAAGCGCCCTGATAAAATATGGAACTCGCATTCCTTAGACTTTATTATAAAGCACTATTAGTTTGATAGAACTGTTAAATAGTGGTTTCTGTTCAAAAAAAATTAATAAAAAACTGATAAAAACTGAGCAAAAGTGCCATTTTTAATCGTTTCAGAACTGTTTCCAATAAACCGTAGAACTCAGTATGAAAGTTGTGCTGATGATTCCGCTTCTGCTGATATGGTAATTAATTTCAAACTATTAAACCTAAGCATTTGGGTTTTATCTATTATGTTTTTGAGAATTACAGTTTTGCGCTGAATAAGTAAAAAGACCGGGAAAAAAACCGGCCAAAAGAGTGCTTTTTAGGAAAGTCTATACTTAGTATATATTGGCAAAAAAATTTAGGGCCGCTCAGCCAAAAATAGATGTTTTAAAATAGCAGTAAAAAGAAGACCCTTTGGGTCGGCAGAGGTTAAATAACCTCCCTAATTGTTTTTGCTCATTTGATTTTTTTATTTCAAGTAGTTTTTGGCTGTAGGAGTGTTTAAAAAGAACAAAACACTCCTACAGCTGGTCTGCTTAGGTTTCCATCTTCAATTGGACTTTTAATGTTTGTACCATTTAAAAGTGTTTTCATTCTGTTTTACAGATGTATACAAGGATACTTCGGGTGCGTTTTCCTTTTTTTAAATATAAAATATAAAAAATATATTTCGCCACTTCCTCCCTAACACCTCGCAAAGGGAGGATTCGTTAATAGGTACAAAATTTAGAATGCTTAACCGTTGATTTAGTTCATAAAAGGGTGACAAATTGTTATTAGGTACTGAAGGGCGGCGGAAATAGTTATGAGAGATATTATTTTACCCCTAGTAAAACTTCTGTGCCCACTCCACTGCCCGGTTACTATCAAAATAAGCTGACTAATAAGCTAACTCAAGTATATTTGACTTAAGATTTGCATTTCAAACAAGACTGCTCGTATCAGGGCGAAGCCCTGAATGTTCCGACTGCCTTTTAAGTTTTATGGAGCAGTAATAACATTAAAAAATTCAATGAAATAAAACAATAAAAAATTTTTTTTCCTAATTTCTGAAATTTTTTAATGAAAATAATCACCCCACACGCCATATAAAGTACAAAAGGATAGATTTCGCTCCTTGTAACAAACCAATTATGGCAAAAAGGCTTCTTTTAACCAAGTTAGAACGATTTATAAGACGGATTAACTCTCCGCTTACGCGTTATTAGCGCGAAATATATCGCGCGTTAATTGTCCCAAATTGGCCAAAATGGCAATCTTTAAACCCCCGTAACTTTACGAAAAATGATCACAGGTGAAATATCTTTTCAAACTTGAGCTCAGGACAACAATGCCTTTCGAATGATGTAAAAAAATTCCGTCAAAAATGGCTAGTTAAAAAGTCGAAATTTGTCTGAAGAAAAAAAAACCCACCCCGAGCACAAATATTCCGTTACTTTCGTATCGAAAGTCGGAACAATAATTTGAATATCGCAGCACTCTATGTTGGAAGGGTTCATATGGAATCCTTTCATCGCAAAATTTAAGGCGCCAATAGCGAAAAAATTAACTGGTAGAGCGGCTGATAGTTCTAAACAACTACGTGCAGCACCAGCACATTCATTGGATATTTCTTCGCGCTTCTTCCCCCGAACAGCAGGCTTCGACTCCGTGTTCAAAATCTGTTTATATTCTGCCAGGAGAGAACATATTTTTGCTTTTAATATTTGAATAACTGACCCAGCCGAGGACATCTTAGCGACTACTTCTGTCAGTTGATCAGTCAAAAAATAAAAGAATGAGTGATTTTGCTACAAATCAAACGGAGTTTTTTTATGTTCTAACGGATCTACTAAACAATTGCCCCCCCCCCTCAAATTCAAGAAAGGGAGCAATTGTTAGGTAGATGAATTTGTCGAATTTTTGATCCATCAGAATTCAGAAACATTTGAATTTTACATAGAATGCTCTAGTGCTATTTAGTGCTTTTATTAATAGGGTTGGTAATTTTTTAGTAGAAACCAAACGGAGGGCGGTTGTTAAGAAGATCCAAATAAAAAAAGACTCAAATTTTCACAGGTGACAGTGTTTATTGAGAACGAGAACGACAACTCCCCGCAATGGGTTGAATTTCCCCCCGAGGGGGTGTTGAGCGTGGTGGAAAATGAGTCATCCGAGAGTGAAAGTGTGTTCACGTTTGTGGCCAAGGACGGAGATGCCTCCGATACTGTCAGCTACTACATAGAGATTAATTTCAAAGGTAAAGAGCGGGTCTATTAGTTAATACCGTGACAACTTTGGAACAACTTAGTGCGTTTTTTGAGAACTATAAGACCGGGTGGACCAAAATTTCTTATCATATAGTTTTTATATATGCCTATGGCAAAACTATTATCATACATTTTCTACAATTCCATACCTAGAGAAGATTGGGAGAAATTTCACTACGATAACCCTTTCACAGATACATTAGTTAGATACTCGCTTTTTTGTTGTAGTAATTACGACATACTATTTCATAGTTCACTCGAAACTATGAATAAAAACGTTAAAATTTTGTATTTGGCTAGATAATTTTCAGTTTTTTTTTCAAGAAATACTTCTTTGAGCATGAAAACGATTTTCGACTAACAATTGAGAAAAAAATGTCTCTGAAATTTGGATTTTTTTTCGGATTTTTTTTGCAGCGAGAAAAAAAAATGCTTATCATACCATTTTCATATATGCAATTTTTATTATAAACATTTTTCCGTACACTCAATGTATGAAATTGTAGGATAAACCTTTTTAGTCCAACCAATAAAAATGGGGAGAAATTTTGTGTTCGGGCGTGTTTTTTTTTCTTGTTATCCACCAAGAGGTGCCACAAATTTTTTTTTCTTATCACATTAAAACCCATTCAGTCTAACTTCCAACGACTTTGGAATTTTAACACTGGGATAATTTTTGAGATTT